TAATCGTGACTAGTCGACTAATCGTGGCAGCCCTAATGTGCTATAATAAATAATAAGAACTGGATTCTTGGTGAGGAAAAAAATAATAATGTAAAGATCAAAACTCAACAGCTTTACAGACCTCTTTATTTATTGTAAAAAATAATTAAATATATTTTTCAATACCGTATTAAAGTAATTTATTACATTGCTTTGAATATATGTTTGGTTAAGGGTTGTAATACCTCAGTTGAACCCTGGGATGGGATAAAATTGGCATGAAAGGCTGAGTAGTGGTGACATAATCCAGCTCTCGTAATACATTCATGTTTGGCCCGAAGATTTGTCTTGTTTATTAAAACAGTCAACAGCTGAAGCAGCAGCAGCAGATGTGATGCGTAATCATGCTTCCCACTTTTCGAAGACACCACTATGTCTGATGCCCATCACAAATCAGCAGCGGGCTGCAATAAAATCACGTTTAGCGCAACGCTGCTGCGCAGTAAAATAAGATTAATTGTTTGCATGATGACCGATATCAGCGGAGGGATAAAAAATGTAATTATATACTTGCTCAGGAGTAAGATGAATTGTTAGATCAACAGATAGAGTTATATTGTGCATATTGAGAAGAGCTAACATCCGAATGAGTTTTATGACTTAATAATCAACCTGTGGTCATAAAGTAAATATATCAAAAGGATGAGTTGTAGTGGTGCCTGGGTTTAGTTTAAAAGTTAGGAGCATTGATATTTGAAGGTGGAAGTATGGCTCCTTCACATTGTCTGATGGTATTCCGGGCTAACTGAAAGCAGCTCTGGTGCACACTGGAGGGATACTGTATCCGATCTTCCCTGGAAATGCCTAAGGAGGAGTTGGAGGTTGGGGCTGGGGAAGAGGATCTAATAATCTACTGAGCTTGCAGCAGAAGACCTAGACCTGAAAAAGTGGTCCTAAATGCACAGATCAGTCCCCAGTTAACAGAATCCTTTTCTCTCAAATGGCATGCAAAAGCTCTGGGTAGTCATGTTCAGCTGGTTTATACAAGAACATTTGTATTGATTGGTTCTTCATAAAGCAGTAATATTAAAAGGTTCTCATTTTTTGTGAGATTTCATCTTCGATTCACATCATGTCTCTTCTTTTCAATGACCTTTATAAGAGATTTAGTTTGGGGTCAGCCTTCTACTTTAATGTGCTTTTAAAGGGAGAAAACACAGCTATACACATATATACATATAGACATGGTTACACATCTGCACACGCGCTTTCTCAGGCAGTGATATGCAGTCTTCTGTCCTCAGGACTGCAAAGATCTCATTTAGATAACTCTCCTGATCTCTCGGTACCTCCCAGAGTCACCCTTCTTTGCTGTATCCATCTATTATGTTACCACACGGTGAGATAACAACTTTAGCTGATCCTTTCCCTCGATAGTGAGAGATCGGTGAGAGACCCGAAGAAAGCAGCTGACCTGGATAGCTCCCTTTCGCAAATGTTTCTGTCATTTGCAGTGATTGTGATTGCGTCAAGCATCACGCTGCATCTGTATTGTGACAGCTACGATGTACCCGCTCATTAGACAGGTGGAGGGTATTGATGCTCTTAAAGAGTGTGGTACTTAGCCAAATCAGCGTGAAATGCCATCATTTTAACCGTCTATTTTACTTATATAGTCTGAAGCTTCCCACCTCCAGAATGCTTATGTTGCCATCTCCATGTGCGACTGCGTATATAAGATGTAGATATAGGATGTGGAATTAAATTCACAGTCTTTCCTTAATCTAACCAGTGTTTTAATAGTGACAAACCACATGATAAGCACAATTATTCATAATTTATATGATTATTTTTTGTATAACAACAAATTTTCCCTTTTGAACAAAGGAAAAAAACTGATAGTTTTTTATTGCATAAACTCCAAAAATTCGACCATTGCTTAAAATTGACCATTTAAGGTTTGAGTGTTTTGTTCTTCGAATGTTAAGAGCCAGTGACTGCAAATAATTTCAAACTGTTGCCCTAACAGTACTTGACATTTAGCATTTGATTTTATTGGTCTGTGGTTGTCAAGGGGAGTGGGACAGTACTTCACTTTGAGAATGCCACAGAAAACTGCAAGATGAACGGCCTGACATACTGACATCTATAAGACTGATAAATCAGTTAGAAAAATGACATACATCATTACATCCAGATTTAATGATTCATAATCAGCCAATCAGATGAAAAGCTGATATTTTGCAAAATAAGCCAAATTTATTTAATGACAAGTATTTATAGCTAAGCCCCATTTACATGATTGGAGACCATGAATTTGGTGGATTCCACAAAAAGTTGGTGAAATTGGATGTAGGGAGGTTTGTGGCGCTGCACCAAAAATACCTCCTCGTGCTTTGTGCTTTTGGTTGCTAGCAGGTTGCAAGCTAGCAACCCGGACGACCCCAACTTGTCTGCAAACACTGGCAAATTTATTGCCAGGCAGAGGTGAACTGTGAAATGTGCAACGCAAACTGGAACGTGACATGGCTTGCCTTCAAATTTTGAGCTCTTTTAACATGGGTTGGGTTGCAGCAGTAACTGGTAAAGTAAAAACAGTCCTCATTTATCATGACAACACAGATAAATGTCATACATAATTTGTTTCCTTTGTTCCCAAGTGATTAACCAAAAAGAACCCCAAACGGTCAGAGTTCACTCCTTTGAAGGAAAAAAAGTATCCTGTAATATTTGTTTCAGGTCTTCAGGAAGAAGCGGACCTTGAATTCTTGATGTGACATGACACAAAATGCTTACAGTTAAATTTGTCTGCAGAAACACATTTCTTGTGTCTCATTTCCTGACTATTAAAACACATACCAATGAGTACCTGCTAAAAATGAATGTTCTTTCAGATGGAAGTTCATTGCTTTCTTTGTGCCTCCAATTCAGTTTTTCAGTAATGCATTCAGATATACTCCACATCAATGTGCAGCACAACCAGCAGCAATCTCTGCTCAAGCCTGAAAAGTACTGTATCATCAGCCTTGCACTCCACGAGTATACATTAGATATACTAAACTTGCAGATTTCTTTCAGCCCTTGGCTTTTGCTCAGGCTACCTTTTTTCACATTGGCATTATTTGAAAACAACAGTGCATTCAATATTTTATTTGTATTTGGCCTGCTGCCTTGCATAGGTGTCATTTCCCATCCCCTCTTTCTCTCTCTCTGTAAGGGAAAAATGCTGTACAGTGTTATCCTGACAGCCTGGCACTGCCTCTGTGAGACTGTTTGCCCTCAGCACAAGGCCTGTCCGCGGTTGCCACCGCTCAATGTCCCCTTTGCGTCGGCGAACGGCCACGCTGTCACAGTCTCTGACTGGACCAGCTGTTTTTTTCTCTCTCTTTCTTCCATCTTATCTCCTCCGTCACACTCTCTGTCTTCCTCCCTGTGACTTGTCGTGTGAAAGAGGCAGTGATAGGCCGCCTGGTGATGCAGCTCTTGACACAAACGTTGATATCCGCACACGCTGGCATCGGTGGGAGACAGTTTTTATGTGTGTGTGTGTGTGTTGGCCAAAGCGACCAGCACACAAACACCATCCTGTGGATTGTGGGAACGCAGAGGACACTCATGCGCTATTGTTTTTGTGCTTCTGTTGATGGACACGTAAGTAGGAGGAGGACAGTGAAGGTCAGAGGCAGCTCAGTTTGGGACGCGGCCGGTCAAACCCAGTTAGACAAACAATAAACGTAAAATGGGATGGATCCAGGCTTAAGCTGTCTGGCCGTGCCTCGGCCCGGTCTGCTGGCGTAGGCACTTTTCGCGTCCTGTGCATCTCACATTGGGAGTTATCAGAGCATACAGGCAGGGTAGCATTACTAGTAACAGTTCGCCAGGGAACGCAGAGGGTCCCGAATGTGACCTGATTTGTCAATTCGATGACTTCTCAGAAGCGTCGCTCCACCGGGGGGGGAATCATCAGCTTACAACTGGAGAGGTGGACTCGCTGTTTAGTGGTTTTTGTGCAAAGAAAATTGAGGCGCATAATGGATTTGTCAGGAGTGTAATTCGACATCAAAGCGAAACATCTGAGGAGCACTTAATTGTCTGCCTCATTATGGCCTACCCAGAGAGCTTTGATTGGCTGAAAGAGACCGTCGGTTTGTTGCCAGGTAAGACCTCTGATTCACGCAGTCTGTGTGTAATTTGACAAAAGGTATATTTATAATCAGAGCGGGAGCTTCCCGTTGCTCCCAAAATCTTTAAACCTCATTTGAGAGAGGAATGTTACAAACTGTTGTGAACAGTTTGCAAATGATAACATTTTTTTTTAAGAAGCCTCTCCATCAGACCGAGTTGTTTACCACTCAACGAAACACATCTTTCGGGAACGGAAGGTGAAATGCATGTCGGTGTAAACAGTTTTGGGAGCCAATTAAATCATCTGAAGGAACAGGGCGAAGAGAGAACAAGTGAATGCAAATGAGAGAGAAGTGAGCAGCAGACAACAGAGCAGGGCAGGACAAAAGAGGAAGAGGGGGAACAAAGACTACCTGTGAGGATGCACGGACACATTTGCTTCTCACTTTGCTTATTTGCCACCACTTCAAGTAAATCTAAACAGAAACACTGGTGATTTCTTGAACGCAAATGGCAAACCAGGCTCAGGCTTTCACTCTGAACCTGTTGACCTTTTAATTAAATTAGGAGTTCCTCCTATTCTCTGTAGGAGCAAAGTAGAGAGCCCCTCCCTCAGCTTGTTTATCAGAAGGCATTTGTGTCCTTTTTCATGTTGCGTTTTAAATTATGTATGAAATGTATTTGCATATTTAGTGCATGAGCGAACGCTCTGCGTCTCGATACCAAATTATGCTTCTAAATTACAATCTAAAGGACAGAAAATTAATGTGCTCTTTGGAAAACACGATGAATACACTCTGCTGCCACAGAACATTAAAGCGTGCGCTTAGGAACCAAAAATAGATACGGCGTGTATACAAGACGCAGACAACACGAATACTGACACACACACACACACGTGCAGACTCTCCGGTTCACTGCGGTGTTTGTGTGTCTGTTGAGGTGTTGTTGTACAGAAGGGGAAATGCCTGTGGAGGCTCAGATGGTGACAGATGGTTTGGAGACAAATCAGCCTGGGAGTCAGGATCTCTGCCCTGGGACCAGTAGCCCATTTAAGTGTGTTGGTGTATATAGCGCGTGTGTGTGTGGTTACTGTGAATCCCATTAAATGACGTTGAAGGCTAATTGTTAATACATTTGAATGCATTTGCATGAGCATTTGGATGGCTGAACATCTCCCTTTTTTGTATGTAGAGGATGTTAAATGTTACGTAATGCTTCTCGTAACATCAAATGACATTGCTTTGACAGATTAAACGGTATGCAGGCGCCAGTGTGCTTTTTTTAGATATTCACGCTTCCTTTATTTATGAACAAATGAATGCAACACACTCAGATGTAAAGGTAAACAGTTTGCATCAGCATCCTAAACTATCTCTTTAGTGCAGTAGTGTTTGTGTGCTTAGCTTTTAGTAGTTGTGTAGCTTCTAAAAGAAATCAGTGTTTGCATTACAAACAGTACTCTGCTTATTACCAGTTGTTTTCAGCCATACTCTTGCGTTGAGTTACAGTGGACATAAAGAGGCAGGATGCTTTATTATAGCTTCATTAGCTGTTTGAGTAAACTGCTTTACCCTCCTGTGCAGTGCGGTGAGAAATCCGATCGAGGCCGCTCACCACACACGCAGTCACAGCTCGCTGCAGTTCAGCACAGCTGGAATGACGGTGCTGCAAATCTCTAATCTCTGCCATATATTACCAGGTGCAGTTTTTCATCAGTGTGACATTGTTACTCTTTGGCGGGCTAACCTTGCAGGCATTAGTGTGGAACTTCTCAAAGTGCTTTACAATCCGCCCATAAATTACAGCTCAAGAGGTGCTTTTTACGGCAGCCTGGAGAAGTTGTGCAGTAAGTAGTTCCTCTGGCTTCTGCGTGGCAGCAATTCCCAGTGGGCTCTACGCTTCAAGTACATCTCAGTCTGAACTTGTTTTGTGACTGTTGTGAGAATGAAGCTGCTAAAAGCTCTGCAGGAGTACGTTTGGGCTGGGCGGGTACATGAACATGTGTCTCCATCTGCTGTCTAACACACGTTCAGTGCTGTGTTTATGTGTGTCTGTCTGCATGTGTTGTTGTGTCTCCTTACTGCTGAGCTTGGCCTAGACGACTTAAGTCCTACTAGCCCTTAATAATCTTATTCCCGAGAAGCAACATCTAGGTCATGGGTTTCCACCTTCACTATGGGTTGCTTACCCAGTGCAAGAAGGAAAGCAGAAAACATTTTGTAAAATGAAAGCTTCATTAAAATATCACTGTTGTTTAGCTAAAGCCATTTACTGTAATAGATTTTGTTCATATTGATAACACTGCTGGATTTACCACTACACACCTATTTAAAAATAAAAATTGGTTTCAGTTACCCTCAGAGAGATAAAACAAACTAGCTAGCTTGCTAGCCGATTTCAAGCTAACAGCTAGCGAAAGCGCTAGCTGTTAGGTTGTTGTTTGGTTCAGTGTCTATAAATTACTTTGGTTCTCATTAACCACTATTTTCTTGTCAAACAAGGACTAAGAGCTGCACACAATCGTTTGAAAAATAAACTTTTCACAGGATTAGAGTCTTGTGAAAAAAAGGAAGTTTATGTAATAGCCACGTGATGCTAATCAAATGATTTACTAAATGATCATCATGATCAGTTTGCTTGTCTGTAGCAAGCAATGTCACCCCAGTGTCAGATCGTGCAATGCTCTGAGGAACTGCAAAGATCCCAAGAGCTCAATCTCAGACTCTGTGGGCGTCAGTTAGCATGTTAAATGTTGAAGTTAATGGCATTAAAGTTAGAAAAAATAGACAAGAAGCCTTTGTTTGGGAGGGTTACCAGGAGAAAGCCTCTTTTCTTTTCCTTTAAAAAAAAAACATGGCAGCACAGCTTAGGTTTGCTTAGTTGCTCAATCACCTCAACTGCCGAGCATGGTGGTGGAGAGGTGATGATTTGGGCTTTGCAGCAACAGAACCTGGGCCCTTTGAGTCAATCATGAATTTGTATACCAAAGTATTCTAGAGTCAAAGGTGAGGCGATCTGTCTAACAGCTAAAGCTCGGCTTAAATCGGATGATGCAACAGGACAATGCAGACAAACACAGCAGCAAATCTTCAATGGAATCACTGGAAAAATAACACGATCAAGGTGTCGCATTGGTCCGGTCAAAGTCCAGACTTCAACCTGACTAAAATGCTGTGGTGAAACCTTAAAGAGATCTGCATAAATGCAGTCTCTAACAGCAATGTGAAAGTCTGGTAAGAGAGAGTTGGACACCTGGAGTTGCATGGAGAGTGTCTGGGGCAAACAAATAACTGGACGAGCACACCCACACACACTGACCAGTCTGATTAGTACTTCCGCTGTGGTTCTTAGTTGGATGTGGCGTTATAGGATGTGTTTTTGTTTTTGTTTGTATGTTGCTCTAAGGTAACAAGAGCTTCGCTTACTGCATTTGTCAGCTGATGATTCAGTGCAAGTCTGCGATCATCCTCTGTTTAGTCACCGTGCGCTGTCCTGCAGTGATGGCAGAAGACTAACTCTGTGGAGGACGCTTCCTCTGACACGAGCTGCGTTTCAGCTTCATCCTTGGCGTTGTCTTCATTAAATGTATTTTGTGAATGTCATTTCCAGTGGACATAACGTCTGCATGTCGGTACTGCATCACTTCTTAATGTAGCCACTTAGTGTGCACGCCCCAAAAATAGCAACAAGGTTAGAACCTTGGCTTGATTTGTGGAGGTTTAAGTGGACATCGGCCAAAATTGGAAAGGGTTGCTGACACATCCTCCTTACGTAAGAGATTTGTAGCTCAGCACAAAATGGAAAAGATAAAGATTGAGGATCGTTAGTTCTTTATCAGGGGATACCTGCATTTAAATTGTTTGGTTTTGTGAATCAAGCTAGCTGAAAGACAACGAGCAATCTTTCCAGATGTTTCTCTGTGATAGACGCTTTCTTAATATGCAGTTGTTTACTGCAAGGAGTCATTTGTTAGTTGTGGTATGCACGTGTACTTGTGTTGCTCTCACACTCGGGTCACAGTTGTGGTTAAATGTTCAGTCCTGATCAGATCATGAGGAATATGACGAAGTTATGTTTTGATTACACGGGTATATTCTTTTCATTAAAAGTACTTTTGCTCACAAATGAAAGCGTTGTTGAAGCGAGCTTACAGTGACTGCACTGTAGAAGGCAGAGTTGTGTAAACATGCCTGTGGGATGAAGCTTCTATCTATGACTTAGCACCCTTTGATCCAGTATAGACTTTTCTAAAGGCAGCCGTGTGCTGCATAATAATCTGTTGTGCTGTGATTGTGATGCATGCAGTGCAGCGCATTGCTAGCACAAAAGACTTCAGGCTTCCGTCCTCTTTCCATGTTTGTCTTTTTTCTTCTTCTTCTTCTTCTTTCTTCTGTTAGCATTTGTTGAGATCCCTTCCTAAACTCCTTCCCATGCTCCTCCTCTGCTCTCGTGTTCTACCCTTATCCCTTAACCCTCCTACCCCATTTTTATCAATCTATCTCTCCATCTTTCCTGTTTGAGGCCGCTAATTTGATCTGTCTGTCTGTCCTGCTGGGAAGAAAGGAAATGATTGAGAAAGATTTCCATGATTACTTTGCCTTGCCTGTTTAAAGTTGCATTTAGAGAAAGACTCTTTGGTGACTTCTGTCATTGCATCTGTTGAAGTGGCACTACCAGGTCAGAAGAGTTAGTCATTTGATATACCGCTCTGCAGATTTACTTAGAATGTTTGAGGTAGCAGCCGGCATGTTTGTAATATTTTATTCAAAAACGTGCTTTAAATGTTTGCTCTTCGCTTATGATATAGCGACGTGTCTTTCTTTAGCGCCTCCGAAAACTGAAAAGCAAAGCAAAAGTGTAAGGAACAAATCGCACGTTGTTTATCTGCCGTTACATAAGCTCCTCGCATTGTGACTGGCTGTTTTGCTGCCTCTTATCTAAATTACAAACATAAGTATACAATTTGTGTGCAACACAGCTAGGCGAATGACCCGCAGTCATTCACTGCTCAGACAGTTTGCAGGCTACTTTAGCTGCTCGGCTACATATACAGGAAATGACACATAAATATACCCGCAAATGCAACTGTGCTCTATTGTGATTTCGGTGTCACCCTCACTTTTCAGCACTGCTGACAATATGCTGCCAGAGTATGACATGGAGGGTACAGCACAAGTTTGTTTACTTAGTCTCTTGCTCCTGACAGTGTAACGGGCAGCCTGCCACTTCCAGCCAATCAAAAACTGGCACTGACACACCTCTACAGGGGGCTGAGAGATAAGGGAGCATTTCTGATATTTCTCCACTTTTAAGTATTAATAAGTATTATCACATTAAACACACATGAACACACACACACACAGTGGCAGCCTTAAAAATTAATGACTTCTGGCACATTTCTGGTAAGCAACTACGGTTGAGCTAATAACATGTTAATTGAATTTTTATTTATAATAGAGTTTTAGAAAACTGGGACAAACTGAAATACACAAACGTATTACCTCGCTTTCTAAGCGGATACGCCGCTCACTGGAAAATCTAAGCGTTATTCCATATTTGTGCAGGTTTGAAATGTTAAAAATAATGGTAACTGGGTCAGGTTTAAAGATTATGGTTGTTTCTTGCTAGTAACAATTGTAATGCATGTACTGTGTGTGTGTGTGGTGTATAAAGGCGTGTGTGTATGGTCAGTGGTTAGTGTGTGGTGATGAGTGTAAATGATGTTTTCTTCTGATAGGGGCAAAACATTTTTTCTTGGGACAGTCTAAACATTAAACTCCTCAAGCGGTTTTGTTGAATTGTTCTCAGCGTGTTTGCATAAGTGAGGATCTTTTGTTTATTTTGCCCATTTGCAGTACATGATCGAGTGGAATGGCACAGCGAACGTTGTCTCTGCAAAAGCCATAACAGAGGCAAAGAGAAAAAAAAGTAAGGAGATGGTGGCGGGGGTGGCTCCCTCAGAGGACAATGCCTCTCAGAGAGGAGTGACACAATAGACTCCATTCACAGCCACAACAACAGCATTATGACATTTTGTTCCTATGACTGGACATTATGCATACACCCAAACCACGAGAATCACAGTGGGTTTTCCAAACAGCTCCAAAAGGCACAGACGGGAGCTTTCATGCAGCATACGCGCCTGACTATATAGCCGCATAGAACTGCTGTCCAACATACGTTTAAAAAAATCCATCGTTTTCCCCCCTGATGTTTACATTACATAATCAAAGTGGACACTTGGCTTTTTTTCTTTTATTTTGTGTGTTTGGATAATTTTGCTCGTTCTTTCCTTGTCTATAACCTGCAGCGTTATAAGACAAGAGCTTCATCATGCTACAGAGCGGTGGTATAAAACGTCCTAGTACTATGTAAAAAAGAAGATTAAACTTTAGGCAAGATAAAGGAAGAATATACTGCCATGATGACTTCATAACGACATCTTAAAGATACAGTCTTTAGCCAAAATAGTCTGCAACCAAAATGTTAATACAAGTATGCTTTTTTTTCTTTTGGGGTTGCCAGGTTTGCCAGGGTTTTCCAGCATGTTTGGGAAGAAGAAGAAACGGCTGGAGATCTCAGCTCCGTCTAACTTCGAGCACCGGGTCCACACGGGCTTCGACCCACGGGAGCAGAAGTTCACCGGCCTGCCACAGCAATGGCAGAGCCTCCTGGCAGACACTGCCAATCGGCCCAAGCCCATGGTGGACCCCTCCTACATTACCCCCATACAGCTGGCACCAATGAAGGTACATTACAACCACACAGACTCTAGCAATAGAGACAAATCTTTATCACTTCCAGCCTGTTGCTTACCTTTCTCACATCTTTCTCTTGCTCTTCATCCCGCTGTTTCTCCTCCACTTTTACCCACACACGCCGTGTCTATGTGAACTTAATTATGAACTTTTTTTCTTCTCGCCTCTCCTTTTTATTGCTGTCTGTGCTTTCTCACCCTCTGTAAATGTCTGTCACCTCAGTGTTTTTGTCTCTTACTGCTTCCCTCTCCACCTGTTGCACACTTTCCTCAAAGGGAAAATAGAGAATTCTCCATACCATCTGGCCACTTCACACTGTTTAAATGTCTCTATCAAATCGGAAATGGTAATCATATTGTTGCTTATTATGATGCTTTAAGCCTACATTAAACATTTTTGTG